TGGCTGCACAGTTAAACACCTAGCCGCAGCCGCACACAACAATTTCAATAAAATACAACTAAAATAATGAATGGACATTACCCAGAACTACAGGAAAGTCGACTGACTGGAAATTCTACAACGAGAAGCAAGGAGAAAACCAGAAGGAAGAGTGGAGGAGCTGGAAAAGCCTAAGGTACGGAGACACGCGGCACGCGTGGAGAGGACAGAGTTGGAGAGGAGGGACGGCTGAGGCCTGGCTGGCGTTCCCTAGCGGGAAGGAGAAAAAAGCTCTGACTGTGCTGAACCCCAGACCCGACAGCGCTGAACCCCAGTTCTAGGCCAGACCCTGGGGACCCAGGCTCAAACAGAGGGAGCCGGGGCTGTGAGGTGGAACCCCAGGGGAGCGGCGAAAGGCAGAGCCCCCGGAGGCGCGCACATTGCGCGCAGAGGACGGGCTGATGACTCTGCTGCTAGATTGCCCTGGTGGGAAGGAGACAAAGGCTCTGGACTGTATTCCGACTGCTCTGAACCTCAGTTCTAGGCCAGACCCCGGGAACCCAGGCTCAAACAGAGGGAGCTGGGCTGTAAGGCAGAACGGCGAAAGGAGGTCCCGGAGGTACGCACATTGTGCGCAGAGAACAGACGGTTGGCTGTGCCATGGGATTGCCCTGGCGGGAAGGAGACAAAAGCTCCAGACTGCTCTGAACACCACCTCCAACTCCACTTCCAACTGAACTGAACCCCAGTTCTGGGCTCATTGGGGGAGAGCCTAGACTGTTTGGTAGCAGGTGAAAATCGAGGGCACTTTTCTCTCAGAGGTGCTTGCAGCGAGTACTGAAGGACCCTGGGGATTACTGAGACTCAGGAGCCACGGCTGTAGGTTCCACCCTGAAACTCTGCCCCATCAGGGAAGCTGCGAAAATGCCGAGACAACGAAATAGATCACAAACAAAAGAAATGGAGGACAAAAATGACTGGATTTAGAGTTCAAATCTACGCTTATAAGGTTTTTCAAGAATTTCCTAGAAAAGGTCGATAAGACCTATGAGGATATGAAAAGGGATCAACTAGAATTAATAAGGAATCAATAAGAAATAATAACGGATCAACAAGAAATAAAGAATACATTGTCTGAAATAAAAAATATTTTATAGAGTCCTAAAAACAGAAAGATCGCAAGAATCAAGTCAAAGATTTGAAACATAAAGAGCCCAGAAGACACTCCTCCGCAGAAGCAAGAAGGCAAGAGAATCCAGAAAATTGAAGATAATGTAAGAAACCTCTGGGAGAACTTCAAGCGAACCAACATCAGAATTATGGGGGTCCCAGAAGATGAGAGAGAGAGCAAGATATCGAAAATATACTGAAAGAAACAGTGACAGAAAACTTCCCCCACCTGGGGAAAGAATTAGATTTATAAGTCCAGGAAGCGCGCAGAACTCCAAACAAAAGGAATCCAAAGAAGACCACACCAAGACAAATCATAATTAAAATTCCAAGAGCAAAAGACAAAGAGAGAATATTAAAAGCAGCAAGAGCAAAGCAGGTAGTTACCTATAAAGGAGCACCTATACTGATTGTCAGCTGATTTCTCAACAGAAACCATGCAGGCCAGACGGGAATGGCAAGAAATAATCAAGATGATGAATAGTAAGAACCTACAGCCAAAAATAATCTACCCAGAAAAGTTATCACTCAGAATTCAAGGCCAGATAAAGAGCTTCACCAGTAAAAAAAAGCTAAAGGAGTTCACTACCACCAAACCAGAATTATATGAATTGCTGAAGGGGGTTCTTTTGGAAGAGAAAGTAAATAAAGATAAAAAATATGAACAATAAATACGTAACTATCAACAAGTGAATCTAAAAGCCAAGGAAATTAAAAAAACAACAACTGATGAACAATATTAACTGTTGAATATAATAGAATCAGAGGTATGGAAGGGGAGTGAACTGACAATTCTTGGGGAAAAGGGGAGAGGGGGATGTGGGAAGAGACTGAACATAAACTGTGCACCTATGTTCCCTGAGGACAATGGGGAGTGGGGAAAGGGCAGAGGGTGGGGTGGGAACCTGTGGAAGGGAGCAATGGGGGGGGGGGGGAAGAGGAAAATTTGTAATAATATGAACAATAAAGATTTATTAAAAAAATATACAGAATATATAAATAGGGATGTGAATATACAATTCTGTATTTAAGAATCTTATGCTTGCTGAGGCAATTCAGTCTCTAAATAATAAAACTATTATGCCCAAGCAGTGTGTCTCAATGGTTGAATGTCAACCTATGAACGGGGAAATCACAGTTTGATTCCGAGTCAGGGCATAACCCCAGATTGCAGGCTCCAACCCCAGTGTGGGGTGTGCAGGAAGCAGCCAATCAATGATTTTCTCTTATCACTGATGTATCTATCTCTCTCCCTCTCTCTTCCTCTCTGAAATCAATAAAAAATATTTTAAAAAATGAATATAAAATAAGTTAGTTACTAGATCACGGGTTCACAAGCTCTTTGAGGGTCATATGGATCTACTCCCCAGAAAAATCCATACCTTTTTGTACATATTCAAGAGATTACTGGATCCTCTTAAAGCCAATGAATTAAAGAAAGCTCCATTATGAGATTCACTGAGTACTAACACATAAAAATTATCTGAAGAACCAAAATTGAGAGAATAATTAGTTATCCCTTAATGCAGATGAATACACTTTAAAAACATGCCATTGTTGGGGGTGGGGGCAGCCGGGGAGAGGTCAATGGGGGAAAAAGTAGACTTATGTAATACTTTAAACAGTTACGACTATATTAAATATAAGTTTGGATCAGTTTAGCTCAATCAAGAACACCCAATGGTAAGCTGAACTCAATCAATCATCCCTGAGTTAGCTGTCCCTTTGGCCTGTCATCTCTGAAAACTCTAGTTCCTTGAGGAACTAGGTGGGCCCAAGTAGCCATATTTGTTATGTAGTAGTAGATGAAGTAGTTACAGTAGAATTAGTAGTAGTTATTTAAAAAAAAAAAAAAAAAGCATTAAAAAAGTTTGCTATAAAACAGTATGCCATGCCCTGGCCAGTTTGGCTCAATGGATGGAGCGTCGGCCTGTGGACTGAAAAGTCCCAGGTTTGATTCCGGTCAGAGGCATGTACCTTGGTTGTGGGCACAACCCCAGTGGGAGGTGTGCAGGAGGCAGTTGATTGATGTTTCTCTCTCATCGATGTTTCTGATTCCATCTCTCTCCCTTCCTCTCTGTAAAAAAAAAAATCAATAAAATATATTTAATCCCCCGCCAAACATCAACACCCCCCCCCACAGAAAATAGTATGCCTTGTTTTGTTGGCAGCAGCCTCACACATCTCATATTTATTGAATCTCTTGATAGTATCATTTCCTCTTGTGCTTAATTTAATCTCATTTTGTACAGTAACATGCTGTACACTCTTGTAGCCTAGGAGTAATAGGCTATCCCAAATTGCCTAAAAAGGCATGTTGTATGTATGTGTACATAGTATGAATGTTATGTATGACATACTAAATAGATCTGTTGTATCACCATTAAAAAAAAAGTGCCATTGCATGTTAAGACAAAGGAACTCTTTTGCTAGTACCTTCTGAATGTCCCTCTATAATGTCTATTTCCATACATGGTATTATTATTCAATGAAAATATGTTGTTTGTATTCAGAGTTTCCAGTTTGACTTCATATTTACATAAAACACAGATAGACTTCATTAAAACTGGAAGAAACATAGCTTAGCTAATGAATTATTCTATTTCAACATTCTTCCTAGCTTAGAATGCTGTTTCTGAGGCTTTGATGCTGAAGGGAATGAAGTCATTAACATTAGTTGATAATACTGTAGGATGAGCACTTTCCTGCTATTCAAAAAATTACTTAGATATTTTGAAATTTAAATTAATTTCTTAATAAAAAAGTAAAAGACTGAGGTACAACAGTAGAGAAATCTCTGCAGAAGTGAGAAACTGTACAATCAATACTGAAGTTTCATAAATCATTTCCTACATCTTTGAATAAATAGGGGAAAAAAGAACCAAGCCAAGACCTTTAATAAGAAATGGACTGGTTATGTTAAAAAGTTTTTAAAAACTGATTATCTTGCTACATATTCTGAAACAAATAAACAGAACAGTTAGAATTAACATATTCTGGAGCATACTAGCAAAGTGGACAACTGATCAAAGAAACTAGATAAAAGGACAGAAAATAAAAGGTTTTGCATTTAACTTTTAAAACTTGTAAGTAAATACTGTTATAATTCAATTTGATGCTTTGCTAACACTAAGTATAAGAAAGAGAAACAGAAGGAAATGTCAAAGGCTGGAGAAAGGATTTGGATCCTTTTACTTAATTCCAGCATTTTAAATGGATTAGAAATACAAATTATTACCAAACGTGCACAAAAGTCTGGAGAATTGGTAAAAAAAAAAAAAAAAAAATGATGATTTAAAGAATAAAGAGGATTTCAAAAATTTCAATTTATTTCCTTAAAAATGCAGAATAGGCATCCCTTACTACAAGCATCAGGAGGCAGTACTGCCAGTTTAAGAGGATCTAATGCTAATGTTAGGTAGTATTTCATTTCAGAATACCCACAAGGCAGAATAAACTCTCTCACTGTGACAGATTAGTATGATTCTTAAATGAATATGATTCTTCTAAGACACATTTTCCAATTAAAAAAAGTGAGTTGAGCTTTTTTGGAGGAATCGAGGAGAACATAAGAAAGACTAGAAACTAAATAAAAAAAAAGACTTCAGGCTTAATGTTCAAGGTCAGTCAAAAGGAGGATAAATTCACCTTTATTTCTTATCCAACTATTAATATTAAATATATTGTAATTCAAATAATGAAGCTGATGTTATAAACAAAAGAAAGCTGCATTAAGATACCCTTTCTGGCATTAGCATGGTGCATGTGAACTTACAGTTGACACACCTCTCTTCAGTGGTGCACTGTTAATGAAGGATACACTTAATGGATCAGTGTGAGCATATACATACCACAGGCTGTTTTGTGATGTCCACTAAGTCCTTAAGATTATAATACTGATGTTTCTCAAAAGCCGAAAATAGCATGTCTAAAACATATTGTTTATCAGCTCGAGCTCGTTTTCCATCTTCTTTCTTTTTCCTTTCATATTCAATCTATGTGCAAAAAACAAAAGAAATAAAAGCATCAATTCAACATGATCACTTTGAAACAGGCATTTTCTTTCTTTCCTTTAAAAAAAAATACATTTTTATTGATTTCAGAGAACAAAGGAGAGGGAGAAAGACATAGAAATATTAATGATGAGAGAGAATCATTGAATGGCTGTCTCCTGCATGCCCCCTACTGGGAATCAAGCCCATAACTCGAGTATCTGCCCTGACTGAGAATCGAACTGTGACCTCCTGGTTTATAGGTCAATGCTCAACCACTGCGCAACATTGGCTGGGCCAGGCATTTTCTTTTTAGACATCCAAATAACAATTAGATTTTAAACTGTAAGGTAGCAGGTTTAAGAGCAGTGGTTCAGAACCTGGGGGCCTCACTGCTCCCAGGGATCCTCAGATCTTTAAGGCTCTTAAAGTATTAGGTCAGCATTAATATCGATTTATAAACCATTTTCATTATTTCCTAAATTTAGCTTTATGCAATATGTCCATTTCTATAAAAAAAAAGGGGGGGGGGAGGGGCTTTCTTTGCCAAATTTCTATCAATTCAGAGTGGCTACTTATTAGCTCATATTGATCAGGAAGTCTAACTTTAAATTCTTTTGTTTTTGATTGTCCAAAATACGGTACATTTATCTAAGAAATGCAGGTTAGTAGGTAACATCTTTCACATTGGGGGATCTAGGTTCAGCCAGAAGGTAGAGAGACTGATAGATCATAGAACAGGTTCTCTAGGAAGTGACAAGTTTGGGAAGCATTGGTAAAAAGCCAAGAATGTGGGCAGTAACAGGAGGCTGCTTCTCACCCCGACTGGGTGACCTTCCTGAACTCGTTTCTTTTATAAAATGAAGTAAAGGATGACACTAAGGGGATGTATAGATTTAATTATAGTGTTATCATCCAGAGACTCATTTATTTGTAAAAAATTATCTTTTTACTGAAAATATGCAAACTTTCAGCTGATTAAGCTTTTAATTTTCTTAGAAACAACTTCATTTTAATAAGGCAACAGGAACTTGTTGGAAGAACTATATATAAACTGCAGCAGCCAGCCCACCTAGTAAATAAAGCATCAGCAAGTGACAGCTGCCAGAGAGCAATCTGCTGTGCATCCCCTGGAATAACTATAATCTAGGGGCTTGACTCCAAAGTAATGAAATACTTTAAAACTTACAATAAATCACTACATAAATTTCAGCCTCATACAGTTGGTCTTACCCTATTTTAACAATGAAGATTTATTTTATTTTTATTTTTTATTTTTTAAGTAATGTAGTTCACCCTAGAAGCGATTTTTTTAAATTAATTTTTATTGATTTTTTTTTTACAGAGAGGAAGAAAGAGAGCTAGAAACGTCGATGAGAGAGAAACATCGACCAGCTGCCTCTTGCACACCCCCTACCGGGGATGTGCCCGCAACCAATGTACATGCCCTTGACTGGAATCGAACCCAGGACCTTTCAGTCCGCAGACCAACGCTCTACCACTGAGCCAAACCGGTTTCGGCAACAATGATTTATTAAAAAGATAATATTTAGTTTCTACTGATGTTAAGATTAAAAACCTATCTTATACTTAATCAAAAATTTTCACATTAGTGGCAAGAGGTAACTATGACAACAAAGAATATCTGTCTTTCAAGTAAATAAAACTAGAAACTAGACAAGGAAAAAGGTCTAACAATCGCCTTAATTTTTTCTTAAATATATTTTATTGATTTTTTTTTATAGAGGAAGAGAGAGGGATAGAGAGTTAGAAACATTGATGAGAGAGAATCATTGATCTACTAACTGCCTCTTGCACACTCCCTACCGGGGATGTGCCCGCAACCAAGATACATGCCCTTGACCGAAGTCGAACCTGGGACCTTTCAGTCTGCAGGCTGACACTCTATCCACTGAGCCAAATCGGTTTCAGCTGCCTTAATTTTTTTGATATGTAGACCTTAGGGGTAAAATTCAAACTCTATTCATCTTAGGAGGTAGAGAGAGAAGAGTTATGGTGTTTAAGGGCATAAACTTGCAACAAGCAGTGGATAAGCCACAGAGATTTAGAGCACAGTAGTGAATATAGACAATATTCTACTTTAATTATGTGGTATGAATATAGATAACATTTACTATAATTATGTAATATGGTTTACATCACAAGGACAATCCTATATAATAATCCTATGTAATAAAAAGGTACTCACGCCCACGCACAAGATGGCTGCGCCCATATGGTCACAAGGTGGCCACGCCCATGTCATCACAGGATGGCCACCCCCATGTCATAACAAGATGGCCACCCCCACGTGTTCACAGATGGCCATGCCCATATGGTCACAGATGGCCATACCCGTGTGGTTACAAGATGGCCACCCCTACATGGTCATAAGATGACCATACCCATGTGGTCACAAGATGGCTGCCAAAAGATGGCCAGCAGGGGAGGGCAGTTGTGGGTGATCAGGCCAGCAAGGGAGGGCAGTTGCAGGGGACCAGACCTGCAGGGGAGGGCAGTTAGGGGTGACCAGGCCAGAAGGGGAGGGAAGCTGGAGGGGATCAGGTTGGCAGGGGAGGGCAATTGGGGGTGATGGACCTGCAAGGGAGCAGTTAGGTGTAGATCAGGTGGGGAGGGGGGTGGTTAGATGGCTATCAGGCTGGCAGGCAGAAGCGATTAGGGGCAATCAGGCAGGCAGGTGAGCAGTTGGGAGGCAGGTGTCCTGGATTGTGAGGGGGGTCCCAGATTGGAGAAGGTGCAGGCTGGGCTGAGGGACACCCCCCACAGTGCATGAATTTTGTGCACCAGGCCTCTAGTAATCCTCTGACGACTCCAAGACTGCAAGAAGGCACATACTGGATGGTTCCCTCAGCTCAGTCTGTGCCCTCTCGGAGTCTGGGAGCCCTCGGTGGATGTCCAACTGATGGCTTAGGCCTAATTCCCTAAGGCATCAGTCGGTCATCCCTAGTGCTGCTGTGGAGGTGGGAGAGGCACCCGGCACCAACACTGCACTTGCCAGCCATGAGCCCAGTTGAGGGCTTCTGGCTGAAAGGCGCTCCTCCTGTGGGAGCACACTGACCACCAGGGGGCAGCTCCTGCACTGAGTGTGCTCTGGTAGTCAGTGCACATCATAGTGACCAGTCGTGCCGCTGTTTGGTTGATTTGCATATTAGCCTTTTATTATATAGGAAACATATATCAAAGTAACATGTACAACTTAAATTTACCCAATGTTACATGTCAAATTTATTCAATTTAGAAAATGAATCAATTCATCGCTTTAAAATATTACACATAGACTATGGGATACCCACTGCACTAAGATACAAAGCAAATAATGTAGCATCTTACAAAATGTATCCTTTTCTTGTGGCTCATGTACTAAAATGTTTATAGAGGACCTTGAGCATTTTATTAAAATTTTTTTTTATTGATTTCAGAGAGGAGGAGAGAGGGAGAGAGAGATAGAAACATCAATGATGAGAGATAATCATTGATTGGATGCTTCCTGCACAGCCCTACAGTGAGGATCGAGCCCATAACCCGGGTCTTATGTCCTGACCAGGAATGGAACAGTGACCTCCTGGTTCATAGATGGATGCTCAACCTTGAGCATTTGAAATGTGAAAGATCACAAAGCTCCCAGAACAAGATCATAATGCTGAAAAGAAAAAGAAAAAAAAAGTACATGCATGACACAGACCATATTGGAAAGAAATGAAATGCAGCCAGTCTCAACGTTTTCTGAGTGGGAAGAGCATGAAAGAAACAACTATGGGAAGCTAAAGATTCATTAGAGAAAAATAGAGGGACTAGAAGAGCTAGAAGAAAGATTAGAGGGGAGAGATTAGAGAAATTTATGCCCAAGAAGAAAATCCAAGTCTTCCAGTGTGGGAAAGATGGAGAAACAGATGATAAAATGCATTTAAGGACAAAGACAGAAGTATAAAGTCTACCCCGGTTCAGCAAGAAATGAAGCTGCAAGAGGTCAAAGATCAAAAGAGATGGACATGAGGTCCACTCAAGAAAGAATTTTCTGCCGAAACCGGTTTGGCTCAGCGGTAGAGCGTTGGTCTGCAGACTGAAAGGTCCCAGGTTCCATCCCAGTCAGGGGCATATACGTTGGTTGCAGGCACATCCCCGGTGGGGGGTGTGCAGGAGGCAGCTGGTCGATGTTTCTCCCTCATCGACCTTTCTAGCTCTCTATCTCTCTCCCTTCCTCTCTGTAAAAAATCAATAAAATATATTAAAAAAAAAAAAGAAAAAGAAAAATTTTTTTCTTTAGGATCAAAAGAAGGATAGAACTAAGAGAATGGCTGTATGTTAAAGAAAGAAAGCATGACAGACAGGACAAAACTCATAAATCCAAGGGTCTTTGGATTAAAAAAAACACATATCATAGAACACTTAAGGGATTAATATTTTAAGCCTTGCTTTACTAACCAATGACTAAAATATATCTATTCTCCCTGGTTACAATTGTACTTACACCCAAAATCCTCTTCCACTGTTGCACTGCACTTGACTGGGTTTATCTTTTATACTGTGATGGACAATCTAGAAAGGGGGCTGCTAAAAAAGTAGGAACAAGTTTGGACCAGGGGATGAAGCTGTTATAATCCTTTATTCTGATCAAATGGGAGGTAAGAAAAACTTTGGGATGTAGAAAAGAGGAGCGAGAATCAGCTAAGGAGGGGTGGGGAAAGCCTATTCCATTCTCACAGGCTTGAGTGGGATGTGGGATTTCATCCTCAAGAAAAACAGTAGGGAGGAAGTGGGTGTTTAGCAAAAAGACCAGTGTTAGGCTTTTGTATTCTCTGTATGGAGGCACAGTTGTATGATATGTCTGCCCTCCCTTCCTAGCCTTAATTTATGCTGAAAGAAGAAAGGGTTAAAGTCAGGAAACAGAAAAGAAAAAAAAATGATATGTTCAGCTTCCATCCTGAGAAGTCTCTCTCTTGTGTAAAAAAACAGAGAAGCTAGGAAGATTAATAATAATAAAA